TTTTTTTTTGCTTTGTTTTGCTTTTGTTTTTTTGAATGTCCAGAGGACCAGAATGAACTTTTTTGGATTCTTCAGATCATTTCTGTTTTTATTTCTACTTTTCCCACTCATCCATTCATCCATCTAACCTTCATTTGATCTGTGTATTTTATTTCTTATCCAACTGTTTTGCTTGTTTACCACTTATTCTCCATGCTGCGTCAGCACTCTTGCCTTTATCCAGTGGAATACACTCAGGTAAATGAGACTTCATGGCCTAAACTTTCCCTGAGACCCAGTCACCAGTGTTGACTCGCCACTTGTCTCTGGTCCTGACCGTAAACGGGCTTCACGTGTTCTGCTCCAACATATCACCTTGATGTTTTCAGCAGTCTTGTTGAGAATTTATTCACACTTTAGACACATCTCAGAATCAAAGTATTTAATTTTATAGCAACTGATAAAGATGAAAAAGAACTGTCTTTGCAAGCAGATTTTTTTTACCCACTGCATTTGAATTGGTTTTAAAAGTTTTAGCAAGTTTTTTCAACGTGTCTGCTTTTTCTTAAGCCCATATGTCACTTGGCTGCAACTTCTGGACACTAACTGTCAAACCCACGTCTCAGCTGAGACTTCTTCTCTACGGCCCTCACATTCACACTTCTGAGAACCTTGAAACGTTTGCAGTAGTAATTATTTTTCAGGCGTGAGTACTAGAGGCAGGCAGTCTTGTTGCATGAATTTTGAACGTTTGAAAAATTTGTGCAACATTTTTTTCCTCTCAAAATCTCAGGGTTGTTTTGAAAATTGTTTAAGATTTATAAGGGGCGCCTCCAGCCTTTCTCGAGCAGTACGGCTGTATTTGGACTCCTGCAGGGAGCTTTGTTCTGACAAGAAACATGTCCAGGTCTAAAAACTGCACTGATTATAGTAATTGCTACAATACTGGTCTCAATTCCTAAAGTGTACTCCAGTAGATGAAATCATAAAAACAGGGGGCGGCTGCCAAGGTCAGCAACAAAATAATGTGCATTGCCAAGAATACAGGTTCAAAAGCTGTGCATGTGACAACAAGGTTGTGAAAACAAATTTAAAAACTAACCACATAAAAGGTGGCTGCTGGTTGCTAGAAATAGTTGGAAATGTGCCGATTTTCTCACAATTTTAAATGTCCAACTGGTCCTGAACAGTCTGGGCTGTGATTACGATTGGCTGCGTCACTACAGTTCTGGACTTGAACATTCTTCTAATAACATCTAGCTCTGGATTTCCTGATTCATGCTCAATAATCCAGGTAGAAAAATCTAACGAAGTCAAGTCAGGTTCTCTGGATGGTTTATTTTTCTCACCACAGACTCTTGTTCAGGCTGCTGTTGTTACGCCGTATTGTTTTGCATTATTAGTGTTTAGCGAATATCTTAGAAGTTTTGGCGTGCCATTTGGCATTCGTTTAACGTATATCTTAGATCCTTATATACTGTTTCTGTTTATATTTTTGCTATTTTTGGTGTAACTGGGATCCTGAGTACATAATTTCCTTCCACCTCATGTACCACATGTGATGTGAATAACAATAAACTTGAACTTTTTAATCAACGAAAAGAAACCGTCCAGAGGATTTGACTTAGCTTTGTTAGATCTAGCTCTGGACTTTCCCTGGGATTCTTCAAACTTCTTCTGTGTTTGACCATTTGTTGATCTGTTTCTTTCCCAAGATCATTTTGTTTTGTATAAAAGTTAGAAGTGATCTATTCTTCTTTGAATCTCAGTCAGTTTTTGGATGAAATGAGCAGCTGTCTTTGGATGCTTTGTTAGTCGAAACCAGGGCTCTGCAACCTTTGTCATCAAACGAGTCATTTCTGCTCCTATGAAACCTGTTTAGACAAAAATATGTTCCTTAAGTTTAAAATAAGGAGAACACAACCCATCGTTGTACAAATACTACCGGTATATATGAAGTCTTTACTTTTTATACCATACTTTGATTTTATAACATAACAAATGACCTTGTTTGCAAAAGGTATTTTTTTAAACTTCTTTAATAACTTTAATGCTATGAACTACTGCAGACAGCTGTGTCTGTTAGCAAAATATCTCTGAACTACTAAACAGATTTTAATGAAACTTTTAAGGATATACTTTATTGGATATTCTTATACAACTGATTAACTTTTGGAGTAAGTCCAATTCTAGATGGCTGCTGCAGCTAATCAATATTAGCAAACACAAAAACAGCTTTAACCCAGTCAGTTCATAATGGCTGCCACATTATTTCACAAATTTATTATTGTCACAATGTTCATAAGCACAATATCTATATCCCAAAGGCTTGCTTACACTGCAGTAAACATTGTCATTATATTTCAGGTACCATGCATTCATGTTCAGCTGCCAATAATATAATATATTTGGTTAATCCAACAGACTGGCCTCGATGCCTTCACCTGGTTTAGATGATGGTGATGTTGTCATCACAACATTAATCCTTGGTAGGTCTCCTGGGGAAAAATCTGCCATGCATTTATTTTTGTTCCTATTATTATTTATTTATTTAACTGTTTGTGCAGTCAATAAACACGATCATTCCTGACAAAGCCTAAAAGTCCTTCTAATTTTTTTTTTTGAGGGGGGTCAGAATATTTTTTTCAAAGGCAGTAATGTTACTGCCCTCTAGTGCTCCTTAGGGGGACATCAACCCTATTGAAATCCATTATAAATGCATTTTAATCCCATATTTATTATAACATAAATAATGTAAATGCTTTTATGTTTCAGTTATGTTTTGTTTGTTTGTTTTAGCTCTATCTACTTTAGACTTAGAGTGCATCTGGAAAGTATTCACAGCGCTTCACTTTTTCCACATTTTGTTATGTTACAGCCTTATTCCAAATTGTATTGAATTTATCTCTTCCCTCAAAATTCTACACACAATACCCCATTATGACAATGTGGAAAAATATTTTGAGATTTTAGCAAATTTATTAAGATAGGAAACCAAGAAATCACATTTACGTATTTACAGCCTTCAACAACAACAACAAAAAATACAAAAAAACAAGTGAAAGGACTGCATTATTTCCTGACACCCAATATTAAAAAAATAAAAACAAACAAAAATGAATGTTTGGCTGATTTTTACCCACGAGAATTAAACACATTGCAAACTTTTCTAATATTATGCAGCCCTGGGGCCACCACTAATCAAATTTAGCCAACAAAGTAACGATTCACAACTCTTACTCTGAGGGATAACGCACATTGCAAGATCTCACGAAATAACAAAAGGTCATGAGATTGTGCATAACATTATTTTCATGGTTTGAGCAAAACAGCTACAACTCTTGTCATTTGTCAACAGAAGAAAATCTCAGTCCAGACCTTTGGCCAGAATGGCAGCAGGTGATATGCATTCAACCAAGGAAACCTATGACTTTAATTTTATATAGTTGTGTATATATACTGTACAACATTAAGTTGTGTTATAATTTTCAAGCTTCAGGTCCGTATTGTTGCTCTTAATGTTTTCTAAGTGCAGAAGTGGATCCTTTGATGGTGGTTGTTTCAGAGCTTTAGTTAAAATGTGCATTTTATGAGCTGAATGCTTTTGTGTGGATCAGGGAGAAGTACACTCTGGAGCAGGACATCAGGGAGACAGAGGAGGCTGTCAGACAGAAGTCTGCAGAAGTGCAGGTCAGTCTACACACATTTCCTTTACATTTTAAAAGTAAAATCGGGGCTTTATCACAATATACAGCAGGGTTAGACATAAGGGCATTTTCCAGGTTGTCCAGTGGACAGCCTCTTGACAGATTCTGATTGTCCGACAAAAGGTTGTGTTGTCTGCAACCTTAATAGTAAATATGGCATAAAAAAAATCTCTTGAATAATGTAATTTAATAAGTATTATAGTATTGCATTACGGTATATATAAAGTTTACTATATACACATTTTCAGTAATGTCATGTCCAAGAGTGGCAGACTCTTTCAGAAGCTGCTGGAGTGGAACGTCCTTGTTCTCCTCTTCATCCTCTTCGTCCCCATCACACTTTAGAAGAGAGGCACATGCAGCATATAATGTTGCTCAAACATTTGTGAACCCTTTAGAATTTTCTATATTTCTGCATAAATATGTCCTAAAACGTCATCAGATTTTCACACAAGTCCTAAAAATAGATCAAGAGAACCCAGTTAAACAAATGAGACAAAAATATTATACTTGGTCATTTATTGAGGAAAGTGATCCAATATTACATTTTTGTGAGTGACAAAAGTATGTGAACCTTTGCTTTCAGTATCTGGTGTGACACCACCCCCCCCACCCCCCATGCAGCAATAATTGAAACTAAATGTTTCCAGTAACTGTTGATCAGTCCTGCTCACCAGCTTGGAGAAACTTTAGTCCATTCCTCTGTACAGAACAGCTTCAACTCTGGATGTTGGTGGTTTCTTCACATTAGCTGCTAACTTCAGGTCCTTCTGCAACATCTGGATTGGATTAAGGTCAGGACTTTGACTTGGCCATTCCAAAACATGAACTTTATTCTTCTTGAACCATTCTTTGGTAGAACGACTTGTGTGTTTAGAGTCATCATCTTGCTGCGTGATCCACCTTCTTTTGATTCAGTTCATGGACAGATGTTCTGACATTTTCCTTAAGAATTCTCTGATATAATTCAGAATTCATTGTTCCATCAATGCCGACAAGCCATCCTGGTCCTGATGCAGCAAAACAGGCCCAAACCATGATACCACCACCATGTTTCACAAATGGGATAAGGTTCTTATGCAGGAATGCAGAGTTTTATTTTCTCCAAACATAACACTTTTCATTTAAACCAAAAAGTTCTATTTTGGTCTCATCTGTCCACAAAACATTCTTCCAACAGTCTTCTGATTTGTTCACTTGATCTTTAGCAAACTACGAAAGAGCAGCAATGTTCTTTTTGGAGAGCAGTGGCTTCCTCCTTCAACCCTGCCATGCACAACATTGTTGTTCAGAGTTCTCCTGATGGTGGACTCATGAACATTAACATTAGTCAATGTGAGAGAGATTTTCAATTAGAAGTTGCCCTGGGCTCCTTTGTGACCTCGCCGACTATTATAAACCTTGCTCTTGAAGTGATCTTTGTTGGTCCACCACTCTTGGGGAGGGTAACAATTGTCTTGAATTTCCTCCATTTGTACACACAATCAATCTGACTGTGGATTGGTGGAGTCCAAACTCTTTAAAGTATAATATTTTTGTTTAATTTGCTTAACTGGGTTTTCTTTATCTGCTTTTAGGGCTTCTGTGAAAATCTGATGACGTTTTGGGTCATATTTATGCAGAAATATAGAAAAATATAAAGGCTTTACCACCACCGTAGTTTTAGTACTTTGTAGTTTGGTACTGTTGATGGAAAAAGTTTGCGTGGTAGTATTAACATTCTCACAGCAGGTCAGAAGTTCTTGTATAATTACACACACTGTCACGCAACATTCCTTATTGTACATCTCAACATGCCTTTTTGTAATTGTACACCGTTTGTACAAGAGAATCTGTCAATTAGATGCAGAAACTAAAAACATTAACATTCATAACTGAAATTTGTTATATAGTCATTTTTGAGTTTGCATGAGAAAAAGCCTTTGACATCACAAATCCAACTGACATATTGTCATTGTGACAATTTGTCTTCATTAGCATAGAGTCTGTTTAGTAAAGAATGCAGGAACTAGATTGTCCAAATCAAACACCTGACTATACCTGATATCTCTGAATATTTGTGTGTTTTCATGACTCAGGAGATGCAGAATGACCTGGACAGAGAGACCATCAGCCTGCAGGAGCTGGAGGCTCAAAAACAAGATGCTCAGGATCGCTTGGAGGAGATGGACCAGCAGAAACATAAACTGGAAGACATGCTGAACGAAGTGCGCATGAAGTGTCAGGAGGAGTCTCAGATGGTGAGGAAACCAGAACAAACGCTTTGTGATCAGAGGTAGTTTTAGCATGAATGGCCCTGGGCGAACACACCCCACCCCTCCAACACACACATACAAGTGCCACCTTCCCCCCCAGTAGTCATGCATCAACTACATAATGCAGAACTGGAGTGGGTACAGTGCATCACCTTGGCATATGCCACATTTCATGCTGATATGTGCAATTGGCTTTGAATTGACCTCTAGAGTTGTTTTCCACATTCCCGTTAAGTTATTGATAAAGGCTCTTAGTGTCCTGTTGATGCTGTATAGTTTCAAATACTCCGGTATTCATGTGTGTGACATTGAGTCATAGACTTTCCTTTAGTCAATCCAAGCTGTGCACCAGTTTGTGTGTCTGGTCTTACAGTTTTGAGCTATGGTTCTGTCGACCAGTAGCTGGTGCTTGGCTCCCCTGGTGTTGGTGCCCATTCCCATCTGTTCCTCTCTTAGATGTTGACCCATGTACCTATTCATTTTAGCTACTATGATGCCTGATAGGAGCTTCCATGTTGTACAGAGGCAGGTGATTCACCAGTTGTTGGATGGGGTTGCCCCTTTCCAGGGCAATCAGGTTTCCAAATCATACACACTCCTCTCTGCTACTGCACCTTGAGGTCTTTTCCCTGAATACCACAAATGGACTAGAAGTCAAATCAAATTTATTTATAAAGCACATGTAAAAATGGCAGGTAGTTACCAAAGTGCTGAGCAATAAAAGACAATGGCAGCGATTAAAATAAAATAAAAAAATTAAAAAAAAAATTTTTAAGCATCAGAAGAAAATTAAATACTAAAACAACTCATAATGGATTTAAAGTCTGTGAAAACAAATGGGTTTTTAAAAAAGATTTTAAACCAGGAAGTGAAGAGACTTGTCTAATATTGGGGGGCAGATTGTTCCAAAGTTTAGGAGCCACGACTGAAAAAGCCCGATCTCTGAGCTTCAACCCCACACCTTATTGTCCTCAAGCTTCGTGAGAAACATCCTTTAGATGAGTAGTGTTGAACACAAGTAAAAAAAAGTCTAGTGGTGATGTTTTTTTCTCTATAAACACAAATAGTGCCGATCTGAGGCTGTGTATTGAAATGCATTAAAGTTAAAATGTCTTTTAAACCCACAGCTGAATTTACACAGACGTGGTGAGAAACATGCTTTAAATGGAATTAAAGTAAGGAAATATAGATGAAACGTTGCTTTTTTGTATACTAGTGAAACACCCACACCTCCCTCCACCCTCATTCACCCCACTCTGGGCCCCTGAGCAAGGCCCTTAACCCTCCATCATCTGCTCCCTAAGCAGGTCTCTCTTGAAAATGAGTTCTCGTGGCTCAGTGACACTACCTGGATAAATAAAGGGTAAATGAAAAAATAAAATAGTGTGCACAGTGTGTGTGCGTGCGCACACACACACACTGTGTCCTCCCCACATTACAGATGCTTCTGACGCCCTTGAATTCAAGTTATGCGATTTAAACAATGTGAAACATATTGCATGTTCTTAAAGTTGAAATTGAATACATCAGGTTTCATTTTTATTTATTTATTCAACACCACAAACTGTATGTCACACACATACTGATAAGAAAACTGAGCACACTCTTAAAAACACATTAACCAAACTGTAAACTACATGAACTATATATCACATGAAATAGTTAGACTTCCAGACCTTGGTCTCATGAAATTTTGTCTGACTGGACCTCTTTAAATTGTAATTGAATACTCCTGGACTAGACCATCCCTTTAGTATCGGAGAAGACATGACATCATCACACTGTTTCACAACAAGACTTGGCTGTTTTAGTAAATCAAAGAAAATAATCAGTGCTGACATTTACATGTCCATGAATCAACAACTGCAGCTTCTTACCAGCAATAAAATGTATCAAATCAAATAATACTTTGGTCCCATTTCAGATGGACACCTAATAATTAGTCTGTAAAAGCTTACAGATCAGAATGGTCTTCAATGTAATTAAAGTGTTCTTGTCTTTTAGTTGCAATCAAGCTACACATGCTGGCATGGATGCACGTAACTTCACAGGAAGAGCTAAAAATAAATTTTATTATTATAGTACCCAAGGGAAATTACAAAATAAAAGCCTTAGATCTTTCTTTATTTTTTATTTGTAGAGCACAATTTAAAACAGATAAACTGTTATCAAAGTGCTTAACAGAAATGTAGCAAAACATAGGCAGCAAAACAAAAACATCATACAGAATTAAAATTACTGGAGCAATAACACACACTAATGATCACACTAAGGAAAAACAAGCAGTAAAAATAAACGTCAATCATAAAACAACAGAATTTAAAATGCGGTAACACAGAACAAAATAAACTAACTCACACAGTATTAAACGCCAGAGCAAACAGGTGCGTTTTAAGGAGGGATTTGAACATCAGGAGGGAGGAGGCCTGCCTGATGTTGAGGGGCAGGTTGTTCCACAGGTTGGGACCTCTGACTGAAAAAGCTCGATCCCCTCGGAGCTTCAGGCGTGATTTTGGAACGACCAAAAGAAGCTGGTCCGATGATCTCAGGGCCCGAGACGGAACATATGGTTCCAGGAGCTCGGAGAGGTAGAGGGGTGCGAGGCCATTTAGGCACTTATATGTCAGGAGGAGAATCTTGAAGTCGATTCTGGATCGCACAGGAAGCCAGTGAAGGGAGGACAGAACAGGTGTGATGTGCTCAGACCTACGTGTACCAGTTAAAAGCCGAGCAGCTGCATTTTGGACGAGCTGGAGACGTGAAATGGACGCCTGACTGACCCCAGCATAAAGTGAGTTACAATAGTCCAGGCGGGTTGTGATGAAGGCATGGACTAATGTTTCAAGGTTGGGTCTGGATAACACTGGCTTGAGCTTAGCTACCTGCCGCAGTTGGAAAAAACTTTTCTGCAGAACTGAACTGATCTGTTTGTCAAACTTAAAATCCGAGTCAAAGACCACCCCGAGATTTCTAACAGTGTGCTTGAGATAGGGCTGAAGTGAGTCCAGGTTTGCAGGATCTGAGGAGGCAGCTGAGCTAGGACTAAAGACGATGACTTCAGTTTTCTGGTCGTTAAAACTGAGAAAATTTGAAGTCATCCATGCCTTAAAGGTGGATGGAGGTTATACTGTTTTTACATCATGATCTGTGGTTTTTTTGTTTGTTTGTTTTTCCACACAGATGATTCAAACAAGCGGACAGGTCTTGAAACGTTTGCATGTTATTCTGAACCAGCCGTGCTTCCTTTACTGTAGAGTGTTCAGATTAGATCTTTCTCTGCTTCTGTTGTTAGCAAGGGACAGGTAAATAAAAGCTATACCTGCACTGGGAGTGGTGATCACCTATGACTGATGTTTGTGTGTTGATTCACTTCACTCATCTAAAACATCTGAACCAAATCATCACAGTACACATGTGTACCGGCACACCTCTAGTACAGAAATACTACCTTTGGCTCAAAATCCATCAGTAATTCTGGACGTTTAAGTAAGTAGATTTTAAATGACAGTTTTGGCATCAGGGAATTTCAAACTCTTTTCTTCCTTTTTTTGCATGTAGATCTCAACTCTTCAGAGCCAAATTCACTCGCAGGAGTCAGACCTTCTGTACCAGGAGGAAGAGCTTAGTCAAGCAAAGGCCAACCTAGACAGGCTGCAGCAGGAGGAGAGTCAGCTGGAGCAGAGCCTTGCTGCTGGCAAGATCCAATTAGAAACCATCATCAAATCTCTGAAGTCCACCCAGGATGAGATAAACCAGGTAGGACTCATAGAACAATTTTTGTTTGGGTTTTTATCCACTATATGTCTGACAGCTGAAGCTCAGACCAAACTGGGTACAGCATGGCAATGTTACCAAACACAGTGGCTAATCTACAACAAAACTGCTCCAAAAGAACAGAACCAAGGTGTTGTAATGGTCCAGTCAATGTCCAGAATCTTAGCCAGTTGGTGTGTGGTGGACTGAGAGTTCCAGGTAAGCAGGTAAAGTCCAAAATGTTTGGTTTGACCTTCAGAGTCTGTCTGCTGGGTTTTCCACTCTTGGGAAGACTCTCAGCTGTCTGAAATGTTTTCCATGTGTCAGTAGTCTTTCTCTCTGTAGAATGACGGACTTCGGATACAGATGTTTTAAAATGACCTTTCCCAGACTGATGAGCAGCAACAGTTGTTTCGCTGAGGTTGTTGATTTATCTGCTTGTGTGTGTTTTACAGGCTCGCAGCAAGTTGTCCCAGATTCAGGACAATCAACAGGAAGTGTCTAAAAGCATTGAGCAGTACAACAGCACGTTGAATGGAACCCACGGAGGCAGCATGACCAACCTGGCTGACATGAGCGAGGGCTTCAATGACAGAGAGAATGAAGGGTTCTCAGCCCCACGGAGGCTCGGACAGGTTAGAGAGCAGGATTTTACATCCCTGTGATGACTGTGTCCTTCATCATTGCCTGAAACTCAGTGTGTGTGTGTGTGTGTGTGCGTGTGTGTGTGCGATTATCTGGAGCATTAGCAAAATATCTCACGAGCCACAGGCAGGATTTAATGAAACTTTCAAAAAGTAATTTTTTTTCATTCAACGTTTATTTAGCCAGGTCCCATTGAGCCTCGAGGACTCATTTACAAGAGAGACCTGATTTCAACAAAGAATGATGACAACAATGGACAACAGCGACAACAATAGACAAATGTAAAAAAAAACATACAGATTAATAAAAAGGCATACAGATTATTGTTGATAATTGTTGCATGTATATCTACACCTACCTAATCAACTGAAATCTCATTTTTGTATCTTTTAATGCTGTAAACCTAACAGACTGTTAGACTTGTCAATTCAATTTAACTCAGTTTATGTATATAGCGCCAAATCACAACAAAGTTGTCTCAGTTGTCCCAGTTAGTAGGTTGTATACAGCCGTACAGACTGGGATGGAGACATGGACTTTGAGTTCTGTTACCCTCCCCAGTCTAAATAATTTACTTTTGAAGTCAAGTAAAGATGGCTGCCATAGCTAATTGACTTCAGTCAACACATAAATGTCTATTACCCAGCCAGTTTTACAGATATTGAGATGAACTTTGGTGTGGTAGTAATTGACATCTTACTATATTTCTGGAGGTTGTGTATAACATAACTTTCAATGTTTAACCAAAACAATTGGAAACTCCATAATGCTGATGAAAATTCTCAGTCATCCAGGACACGATGAATCTGATGATTGAACGATGATCTACATATGTGTGTGTGTCTTATCTCACTCAGCCTTATAACCTGAATCTCTCACTCACTGCTCTTTGAATTGAGAAAGCCTCAGATGAAGAGCGAATCGTCTTCTGTTACAAATAAAGTCCAGTTGTTTTTGTATTGAACGCTTTTTTGAAACTCCATAATGGTTTGAACATGATATGATCTTAATCAAACTCTGGTATAAATGGCAGCGTTCAACATGTTCCCTCAACAAATACTTAACCTTTAATCCTGATTCTATGTCTGTAGCAACACCTGGCTGCTGGCCAGACTTTCACTTCCTGGGGCATCAGTAATAAATATAAGTGCTAAGTGTTGTCATCATTGTATGTTCCCATACGATGATGAAATATGTCATCTACACCCAGGTGGAGCAGTGGGCAGCTATGTAGGCACCCAGGGAGCAATTAGGGATTAGGTGTCTAAATAATAACGGATCATCATTTGATTGTCTTATCAGTTTTAAAAATTTATCCATCCATTTTCTTTACCCAGTTTTCTGCTCAGGGTTCCCGAGCAAACTGGTGTCCATATCTAGCAGTCACTGTGTAAGACGGGGGACACCTGGACAGGTCTCCAGTCCATCACAGGGACACATAGAGACAAACGAGACAAACAACCATTCACATTCTCACTCACACCTAGAGACAATGTAGAGTTACCAATGAACCTAACAGAGATTTTGGGTCTGTGGGAGGAAACCCTGTGCACAGGGAGAACATGTAAACTCCACACAGAAAGGCCAGGAGGCAATTCCGTGCCCTTCTTGTTGTGAGGCGACAGCTCTAACCACTGTTCCACCTTGCTGCCCATCTAAAATAGCTAAAACCATTCTATAAGAAAGTATGTTTTCTAACCAGCTGAAAACATGGCAGGAGTCCAGCTGTAAAATGTCCTTTATCTCAATGGAAGATGGTTCAGGCTGATCTTTCTGTCTTTTTTCATTTTACAGGAGGATTCATTTAAAGTAAAGTCATCAGTGTTCAACAGCCATCCTCAAGAACCTCACACGGACCCCTTCCACTCAGAAGACCCTTTTAAAACAGACCCATTCAAAGGTAGTTACCAACTTTGCTTCTGTCTCCTGCCTTTGTGTTGTTGGCTTTCCTCTCTTGTCCAGATTCACTATTACACTATTGCACTGTGCATGATATCTGCACCATCTTTTATTCTTCATTAGCTCTTCCTAATTGTTTTCTCCTTGTGTCTTTTTCACAAGGCAGTCAGTACAATTATTTTTAGCAAGTTAGTCTAATTTTTTGATCCCCACAGATGTCTTGCCATATTCTCTGATCCATCATGACCAATTTTATTTCAGGAATGGAAAGTCATGTATCAACCATAAGCCTGTTGCTGGTTGTCCTCTTCCTGTTTGAACAATTAACCTGAGACCAGCAGCAACTTAGTCAACGTGTCCTCTGTGTCTGCTAATATTTGGCATCAAGTAATGTTGTACGCCCCACTGGTAAGAGCTGTGCCCAACATTTAAACAGTTAAACTAGACAATGAGGCCAACATTTCAACAAAATAAAGAGCCCACCATTTAATTGATTATAAAAATAGAACATGGTTCTCTGAGATGTGATTCACCAAGGCGGTGCACTCTGTTCTGTTGACAGGGCGGGGCGCCCTCCTTGAATAATGGTAGAGGAAACACTGTCTTCTCGTGTGGAACCAACTACCAGTTAAAGTCCATGAGGCTGACACCTTGTCTACTTTTAAAATTAGGCTCAAGGCTTTTTGATAAATCCTATAGTTAGGGTTGGCTTGGGTTTCCTGAGCTATCCCTTAAGCCCCCAGTATACTCCCGCGTACGTCCATACGCAGAGGTACGCACGTACGTACGCAAAGGTACGTGCGTACCCCCCAGGGCATGTCCGTGCAAAGCTCAGTTTTTACGACCGCATACGCGTACGCGGTGTCGCACAATAAACTGCCCGGCGACGGACTGTTTTGTATGCAACACCAATGTATTAAATTCCCCTTCTTCATCCCTGATCTGGCCTTTTCTTTAGTTTTTTTTGCCAAGAGGCAGAGATCTCTCTCCTCCGTTGACTTCATGACTGAAATGGTGAGAAATGAAGGAATTTGTCACGAGCGAATTAAACTCAGGTCCAGCATGGCTGCGGGAGCATCTGGAGATTTCCTGGTGGGCTGTTCTGTTGTGCTAGCGCTCCGTTTTTTTTAAGATCTTTTTATGAACAACATATAAACACAGAACACCGCTGAGGCTGCCAGCGCTCGTTTTTTTTTTTTTTTCCTGACCTGTCCATCAATCCAGTAGGCGTGTCAGCAAATGACCAATCAGCGACCTCAATTTGTCCCGAAGGTAAACGCCCCTTGTCTGTGAAGCTGCTCTGCAGCTGCTCGGGGTGTACGCTGGAGTACGAAATCTGAACCCGCTGCGTACAGTATACGCGTACGTACACGTGAACGGACGTACGCGGCAGTATACTGGGGGCTTTAGTTCTGCTGCTAAAGGTTTAGACTGCTGGAGGACAAATTGACCATATTTCCTCATTCTTCTGCTGTCTTTACTTGCTCTACAATACCTGCTTGTATTTGTAATTATTTCTATTTTAACATGTTTTTTTGTCTTTACTCCAATAGAAAGTTTTGTTTCTCCTTCCTGTCCTTTTTTAAACCCCAGCCAGTCGAAGCAGATGGCTGCTCGTCCTGAGCCTGGTTCTGCTGGAGGTTTCTTCCTGTTAAAAGGGAGTTTTTCTTTTCCACAGTTTCTTTTGTGCTTGCTCAGGATGGGAGACTGTGATGAAGTGAAGATTCAACACAATCTGCTGGCTTCCTTAGATAGATAACTTTTACTAATTGGCCTTTATAATGTATGTGAATGTTTCTGTACAGTGCCCTGAGATGACTTCTTTTGTGACTTGGCTCTATATAAATAAACTGAACTGAAATAAATAAACTGAATCTAAAAAGCACTGATTAGTCTTTATTGAAGGATCTGTTCGCTTATCTTTGTTGAGATGTAGCAGAGAGCTGTATGAATGTGTGTGTGGAGGTAAATGAGGGCACAGATTGTGTTGTAAAGATCTTTGAGTATCTTGATTAGATAGAAAGGTGCAGATAAGTACAGTCCATTTACCATTTGTACTAGAGTTTAAAACATCCAGTGAGTGGTTGAAGTTTTATTCTTCATTATTTCTGCTTCAGATCCTTTTGGGGGAGACCCGTTTAAAGACACAGATCTATTCAAGACTTCATCAGAGGACTTCTTTAAGAAGACCACCAAAGTGGATCCTTTCTCCACACCAGACCCCTTTAGTAAAAGTGCCACCCTGCCCTCCAAGGTAATGCAGCAATACTTATTCTGCCTTTACTCTAAAAATTATCATTGTTTAGGAAGTTTGAACTAACGTGTTCTTGTTTTTGGCAGCAAACCAGTTACTTTACAAGCACTGACCCATTTTCTTCAAGCCACTCTAAACCCAGAGGACCAGGTAGGATTTCTGTTTGAACACACCTGTAGACATATTTTTAGGTGGGAGTGTGGGGGGTGTCATGTTTTTGTTTAAACCTGAGTTATAAATTATAAATTTGCTGGGGTTTGTGTAATTAGTCCTAAAACATCTTTGCCTAGTTTGCAGCTGGTTTTGGTTCTGCTGAGATCTTAATTTAAGACTTCTGTCCTTCTGTTCCATTTCCTGTCATCTTAAAGAGATATTTCAGAGTGGCTCCTCTGTTGCACCGGGTGGTGGAACTCACCAGGATCCGTCACTCTGTGTTTCTTTAGACAAGAAAATAAAAATAAAAAAAAGAAAGACCTACATACCTCTGTTCTTCTCCACAGTGCAACTCCTCTACTTGAATATGTTGCACCAAAAACATAAAGGTTTACTTCATTCTGGATTCAATTATAGTCCAAAAAACACTCATCTTGAAAACGACAAACATTCACTATTCAAATCCCTCAGAGACGGGGGACATCGAAGTACCGCCTGTTCTTTTTACGAGTGTGTGACAGAGACACTACCTTTTAGTTGTGTTCAGGCACTGCAGGAAGCTGTGAGGGAAAACTTTTATTTGAAGTATCCTGATGCATGCTCAATAATCAATAATAAATAAACATTTTACAAGACTGAAGAAGTCTTTCGGATGAAAGAAAAAACATTTCTACAATTTTTTGTTTTTGAACTTGTCCAGAGGACCTGACTTAACTTTTTTAGACTTTTCTTCAAAGCTTCTCTCTCCCCTTGCAGCACGGTCCCGCTATCATTTGTGTCTGTACTACTGCCACGCAAACTATTTCAAGTGGAGGACACATCTTTTGGGATAACTTCACCAACATCATGCTGACTGCATGAAGGGCGGCTGTGGCTGAGTGGTTAGAGCAGTCGTCCTCCAATGCAAGAGTTGGGGGTTCGAATCCACCAGCAGTCACATGTCGAAGTGTCTCTGGGCAAGTCACTGAACCCCTCATAGCCTCTGATGTGTGTCCCATCAGTGTATGAATGTGATCTAAAAGCATTGATTAGTCTCTTTAGAATGATTTGTTCAATTAGCTTTGTAGAGATCTAGTAGAGTGCTGTATGAATGGGTAAATGAGGCACAGATTGTAGTGTAAAGCGCTTTGAGTATCTTGAAATAAGATAGAAAGGCGCTATATAAGTACAGTCCATTTACCATTTACCATGAGTTGACAGAGGAGAGGGCAAGCCCTGGAGTCCATCTTAGCACCAGCAAACTGTTTTTTTTTCCCTTTTACTTTACGTTTGTTTCTCTACTTTTTATTTTTATACTAGCCCATTAGGTTATGCTCCTCATCATTCACATTTGAGAGTCAGAGTCAGAGATTCTTTATTGCCACAATAATTTATTGCACCACATGTGGTACATGTGGTGGAGCGAAATTATGTACACAGGGTGCCAGTTACATCCAACAATAAAATGTATAAGAAAAACAAACTAAATATACACTAAGCACTAATAGCATAAAAAACATTATGTCGAACACCAGCACAAACATGAAGATGAATCTTTGTGAGCAGATGAGCACGCATGAACACATCAACATGAAACAGATCAGCAGCAACATTGAAACAGATCAGCAGCAACATGATGCAATTTTTTTCACAGTGATTGTTCTGGTTAGATTCATGAGTCTAACAGCCTCAGGGTAGAAGCTGTTCCTCAGTCTAGTGTTTCTACACTTAATGCTCCTCAACCTCCTTCCTGAGGGGAGTGGGGCAAAAAGTGTGTGTGCTGGGTGAGTGGGGTCCTTCATGGTGCAGGCGGCCCTCTTCCTGCATCTAGAGGTGTAGATGTCTGTGATGGTGGGAATGCTGACTCCAACAGACTTTTGTGCAGCCTTCACCACTCTCTGCAAAGCTTTTCTTTCTGCAGCTGTGCAGCCTCCATGCCACACGTTGATGCTGGAGCACAGGATGCTCTCCACTGCACACCTGTAGAAGGAGGTGAGGACTGAGCTTCCCAGACCAGCTCGCCTCAGCCACCTGAGGAAGTAGAGCCTCTGATGAGCTTTCTTGATCAGGCTGGTGGTGTTGTTGCCCCAGCTGAAGTTGTCATTCATGTGTACACCCAAGTACTTGTAGCTGGAGACCACTTCCACTGCAGATCCTCTTATGTTCAGGGGGGTGTAGGTGTGTTTGTTCCTTCTGAAGTCCACAGTCATCTCCTTTGTCTTCTTCACATTGATGTGAAGGTTATTCTCTATTCTCCAGCTTTCCAGGTGTTCCACCTCTTGCCTGTAGCTGGACTCATCATTGTTTGTGATGCATCCCACCACCTCTTTTTCATCTGCAAACTTTACAATATGACAGCCTGGATAGGTAGCTGCACAATCATACGTGAGCAGAGTAAACAGGAGGGGGCTCAACACACATCCCTGAGGAGAGCCAGTGCTAAGGGTTATGGTGGAGGAGGAGAAGTTGTGGATCTTCACTCACTGGTTTATTTGTTAAGAAGTCTAGTACCCAGTTGCAAATGGAGGGGCTTAGTCCTAGTGTGAATAGTTTGTCCATCAGGGTTTGGGGGATCATGGTGTTGAAGGCAGATGTGAAGTCCACAAAGAGCATACGGATGTAAGAGTTTTTCTGCACCAGGTGGTTGAGCGCAGTGTGGACCACAGAGCAGAGGATGACATCTGAGACCTGCTGTAAAAATCACAAACAGGGCTGAACTTACTTGGAAGATGTGTCCATTGTGGCTAGACGTTGCTCTGGACTCCTGTCTTTCATCTCGCCCGACAAAACTGTTTTAGTTCATCTGTAAAGAGCAAAAACACCCTGTGTGGTGCATGGGTGTTACAAAACAGCAGAGCCCCATGCATGTAGGCTGAAGAATTGACTGCTCAAGGGCTTATTACTGCTGACTCCTGCTGGCTTTACAGAAAGTATGGCAGGGCTGGCATATGGACCAGACCGCAGCAGCTTGATGGTCAACCATTTCAGTAAAAGTAAAACATGTTACAGCACCACACGCAGGCCTGTTATGGTTACTAGAGAACTTTGGGTTGTTTTCTGTGGATTACATGTGAATGAAAAGATTTCTAGAAACAGTGTTGTTTTTACAATGTTTGTTTTAGAAATAAATGAAATTATAAATAAAACATAATCCAATGTAGACAAGGCCTTAAAGGTGGAAGATCTCATGACATCCCTCCTGCTGTGGTACTTGTAGGTCAGGAGAGGACATGGTAGAGCCTAGGAACTTCAACCTGGTGACCCTCTCCACTTTCTCCTCAATTATGAGTAATGGCACAGTGTCTCTTTTGTGTCTTTTGCAAAAACTGCTCAACACACAGGAACACTCCAACATTAGAAAGAGTTTGGTTCAGTTTAGTTAGACTGTAAACCATAAATATTATTCCAAATGTTCATGACCTGCAGAAAAACAGTGGCTAGTTAATGGAATTTATGGTAAAATGGTAAATGGACTGTACTTATATAACGTCTTTCTATCTTATCAAGATACTCAAAGTGCTTTACACTACAATCTGTGTCCTCATTTACCCATTCATACAGCACTCTACTAGATCTTTACAAAGCTAATTGAACAAATCATTCTAAAGAGACTAATCAGAGCTTTATCACATTCATACACCGATGGGACACACATCAGAGGCAATTAGGGGTTCAGCGTCTTGCCCAGGGACACTTCGGCATGTGACTGCTGGTGGATTCGAACCCCCAACTCTTGCATTGGTGGGTATTCTCTGTAAGAATAGGTTCTGAGTGATTCAAGGATTCAAAGTGTTTATTGTCATGTGCACATCTGGAAACATGTTTCTCTGAGCAATGGCATTCTTACTTTGCTGTCCACATTGAATGTCAAGCAGAGAAAGAAACATATTTACAAATAAGAGGACACCTAAAGTACCAACAGAGCAGAATGTGCAAAATGTAACATCAAATCAGACAAAAAGATGAAAATGTTCAAAGAAGTTCAGTCAAATGACAGGAACATTCAGCTATTTAAGTCTGATGGCACTTGGAAAGAAGGAATTTTTGAATCTGGAGGTCGTGATTTCACACTTCTGTACCTCTGACCCAAGTCCTTCCCCGTGTCCACTATCAGCTCTTTTGTTTTGTCAGTGTTGAGGGTGAGGATGTTGTCCTCAAACCATGACACCAAGCTGGCCACCTCCCTCCTGTAAGCCGCTTTGTCCCCCCAATGATGGGTGACATTTAACTAAGAGTGCTATTTTATGTAGGCTTGTATGAAAAAGTTAATCATTGTGATTTGTTTCAGATCTCTTCAGCCCTTTAGACCCGTTTGGAAGCAGCTCATTCAGCAGCAGCACGAACACCTACTCTGGGTTTGCAGACTTCAGCCACATGTCCAAACCCAAAGACTCTTTTGAAGGACGGGCCAGCTGGCTGCCAGACTACCAGCAGGTAGGGTCCTAATCTTGTGGTGGGTATGGGGAGGGTGACAATAAGCTCAAAGTACTTTCGCTGTGCAGGTATTTAGATTCAAGATTTTTAAAAAATGGAGAACAGAAGTAGAACATCTCACCCTCAATATAAATATGAGTAAAGTTTTCAGCGTTCAGCCTTTTGTGATGTCTCAATAAACCAGTTTTCATCTCAACTGGCATTTTGTTTTCAAATTGGGGCCAAGGCCACCATTGCCCACCCCCAGCCTCCTACTCTGCACCTGGTGGCAGATACAATTGCTCCCTCCACTTTCCAGGAACCATTACTCTGTGCTGTCTCAGGCAAGCAAAAAAAAAACCTAACTCTGTTCTTCTACGCAGTGCAACTGAAGGACTGAACTTCTGAACTTCTCACCCTATCTCTAAGGGAGAATCCAGCTACCCTGCAGAAAAAACTAATTTTGACTGCTTACATCCTCATTCTCAATCTTTCTGCCACTACCCAGAGATCCTGGCCATAGGTGCAAGTAGGAACATAGACAAACTGGTAAAAGTAGAGCTTCTCCTTGCTGCTCAGCTCCCTCTTCACCACAACAGACTGGAACAAAGTCTGCAATAATGCAGAAGCTACACCGATCTGTCCGTCGATCTCGTGCTCCATTCTTTCCTCACTGTGAACAAAACCTCAAGATACTTGAACTCCTCCACTTGAGGCAGAACCTCACTACCATCTTAAAAGAGGGCAGTCTACCCTTTACTGACAGAGGACCATGGCCTCAGGTTTCCAAGTCCTGATCCTCATCCTAGCTACTTCACACTCTGCTGCAAACCTCTTCAGTGAGAGCTGGAGATCATGGCATGATGATGCCATCTGGACCACATCATCCTCAAATAGCAGAGATGGAATCCTGAGACCTCCAAAGCAGACTCCCTCCACCTCCTGGCTGCACCGAGAAATTCTGTCCATCCCTGTTCTGAACATATATGGACAAATACCATAAAACAAATATCTTGATGACGTTTGACAGCCCTTGTGAAATCCAACTCCCACCTTGAAGGGGGTCTATCTTACTGTCTGCAATGCAAACAAAACTCTTACACCACTTGTAAAGGGACTGAATGGCCTGAAGCAACGGACTCCCAATCCCATACTCTCAGAGTATCACCCCCCCCCCCACCCCCCCCACCCCCCCCCCCCCCCCCCCCCCCCCCCCGCAGTGTACCTACAGGAACACAGTAACATGCTTTCTCCAAGTCCACAAAACACATGTAGACTGGATGGGCAAACTCACATGACCCCCTCGAGGACCTTAGTGAGGTTAAGGATCTGGTTCAGTGTTCCACAATCAGGATGGAACCCACATTGGTCCTTCTGAATTTGAGGTTCGACCATCCAGTGGACTCTCTTCTCTATTTATGAGAAAATTTACAGACCATCGCCAAATATAAAAAAATAATCTTCAGTCTCCATAATGACTAATCCTTTCAGATCAACAGGTGGACAGAACCAGCACCGCAATACATCATTTTATTTTATTCTTTTAACTTTGATTGTGTTTTTGTCTGCTTCTGCCAAAAAATTATTTCCTATATTGAGATTATTTACTTAATCTGTGATCTATAATCTATAAGTCTCTACCTTATGTCTGTCTATCTTTCTATTTGTTTGTCTGACTGTCTATGGGCCTGTATGTCTGTCTGTCTGTCTGTGTGTCTGAACAGACTGATAGTTCTTGTTGTGTTTGTGAAGGTCTCCCAGCCTTCAGGGCCATCTTGAAGGTGACTGAGTCCAGAGGTTAATCAGTTGGTAAAGGACATTCAGTGATCATTTTCTGACAGTTGGACTAAAATAATTTAAAGATGTCACAGCAGCTTGTGTTAAATCTGACTTGTGATTGGTTTGTTGTGTTTTTAGTTTTTTCTTCAGATGATCCAGATGATCATGGTTAAATAAACAGCTCTGTCTTTCATTTGGATCTCCAGCTGTTGGATGTTGTCTTTTTGTCTCCAGTTTAGCAATGGTTTAGATAATTTTAACTTTTAGTCACAGTTGTACATTTTTTAGCTTTTTGCAACTGTTGGTCTAATTGCAGTTTCTATCTACAGTTTCGCAAAAAATTGCACTTGCAAATTGGTGATAATAGCATTTTTTTTTTGTTATGATTTAGCTGACTTGAACCTTTAGCCACAGTTTTGATCGTTTGAATTTATTAGCAACAATTGTGCTAGTTTTAGCTTTATCTACTTTTCTGATGATTTTAACTTCTGGTCTGTTTATTTTAACTTTAAAATCTGTGACCATGTCATTTTCCAACATCATCCAACCAAGTCATTGAGCACTCTGCATTCTCACTGTGATTTCACAGGAACTGCATTTTCTCTGGATATTTATAATTTGTTTTTGTGCAGGCAGTGTTTGTGGACGACCCATTCAGCAGGAAAGGTGACATGCCAGCTCTGCCTCCAAAAAAGAGTATCCCTCCAAGACCTTTACCGCCCAGTGGTGAGTATGTCACTACTTTTTATGCAGGCTACAGAAAATGCACACATTTTGATTGTTTGTTGAAGCAATTAACTATTAATTAAATGTTGTTTGTGTAATTGACTGCTTATTTTTTTCAACCCTAATGAAAATGTTTGTTACAGAAACATTTTTCTTTTTGACTGATGAAAATGATTCTGACTGTAGTTGACTCAATCCATTTTAAATTTGACACACACAAAAAAAAAAAAATCTCTACCATTTTCAATAATAAAAGTCAAGTCAGATTTATTTATAAAGCACATTTAAAACATGAATTGTTACCAAAGTGCTTAACAAAAAGATCACAGCATCTATATATATATGTATATATATGTATATATATA